AGCCCTGCAGAGAAGATCCTGGCCATGCCCTCAGGGAGGGCCTTTTCTCTGCATGACAGTGACTCCTGAAAATCATCCCATTAGCAGGAAGATAAAAAGGGACTGGGCCGTTAAGACAATGATGAAGTCTCTCAGGGGAATCGCGATCATAAAGGCAGTGTTTGCTGTGTGCTGAGACAAGCGCTTTACAGGCATCTTCTCCATCCTCACACCAGGCCCATGGGGTGGGACCTGTGAGCAGAGGCGGGGTGCAGTCACCAGCTAGTTCAAGGTCACCGGCTGGGAAGCAGTGGGGCCAGGCATGGGCCTGAGCCTCTCACCAAGGGGGCCGACTTTGAGAAGCCCACGCCGGTCCCCTCTCCTCCTTGTTAATTTGACTTTTCGCCCCCCCATGCCAGCCCTGACCAACCTACCTCCAGCCCGAATCCCCACAGTCCTTTTCTAGTGGGACTGCCCAGATCCCCGACCGCCTGTTCTCAACCCTTCTCTGCTCGATCCCAGGGCTTTAGACGCCTCCATCACACAGTGAGGAAAGCCCAATCCTCATGGTGGCCTCCGTGGCGCCATGAGCTGGCCTCTGCCCTCACCCCCTTCCCGGCACCTCCAGAGACTCCAACCACTCTGGCCTCTTTGCCGAGCCTCAAACGTACCATGTCCGTTCCCTGCTCTGCGCCTTTGCACTGGCTGCTCCCTCTGCTGGGAATGCTGTCCCTCACATGGCTTCCTCCCTCTGCTCGTCCAAGCCTTGGCTCAGATGTCACCTTGGCAGCGAGGCCGGTGAGGAAAGCCCAATCCTCATGGTGGCCTCCGTGGCGCCATGAGCTGGCCTCTGCCCTCACCCCCTTCCCGGCACCTCCGGAGACTCCAACCACTCTGGCCTCTTTGCTGAGCCTCAAACGTACCATGTCCGTTCCCTGCTCTGCGCCTTTGCACTGGCTGCTCCCTCTGCTGGGAATGCTGTCCCTTACATGGCTTCCTCCCTCTGCTCGTCCAAGCCTTGGCTCAGATGTCACCTTGGCAGCGAGGCCCACCTTGGGCTCCCCGCCACTTGCCTCTCCCCTTGCTCTCTTTCTATCTGTTGTATCAGCATCACCCACCTTCCAGATGATCCTCAGTTATTATAACGGGGGCTCGAGGTGGGCAGGGGTCTGTTTTTTTCACTTACAGTCGTGCCTGGCTCATACTAGGCACTCAACAAATATGTGTTAAATGAATGAATGACTTGTGAGTCTCCCTTTGCTCCCCTCCTGGACACCCCATCGTCCCACTATGCTAAAGGCTGAACAGCCAAGCAGAAGCTCAGCTGGGTTGGTGGACTCTGTGCAAGGTGGACTTCCAACCCAGAGGCTGGATGGAGCATTCGTTTGTCCAGGACAGATCTGGACAGAGACCCACTGAGGACCACAGGGGCCAGCAGGAGGAAAGGGTGAAGGCTGGATCAGTCAAGGTTTCAATCCCCTCCCTCCGCAATATGAGTAACTACCTGCATGAGTGTCCTGGGGCTTCCGTAGCAAAGTGCCACAGACTGGGTGGCTTAAAATAAGACATTTATTGTCTCACAGTCCTGGAGGCTGGAAGTCCAAGATCAAGGTGCTGGCAGGGTTGGTTCCTTCTGAGGGCTGTGTGGGAGAATCCCTCCCCTAGCTGCTGGCAATCTTTGGGGTTATTTGGCTCATAGAAGCATCACCCTGATCTCTGCCTTTATCTTCACATGGGGTTCTGCCTGTGTCTTTTTACATGGCCTTTTTTGTATAAGGACACCAGTCATATTGGATTAGGACCCACCCTAATAACCTCGTTTTAACTTAATTACATCTGTAAAGACGCTATTTCCAAATAAGGTCACATTCTCAGGTACTGTGGGTTAGAACACAATATATCTTTTGGTGGGACACAATTCAACCCCTAATACTCCCCGTGTATTTCTTTGTCACACACACCTAGATCACAGTGTCAAAAAGTAATGGAGAATGTGACATCCTGAAGAGCAAAACAGGCACAATTAAAGATCCCCCAAAGACCTTCCAACCCTGACTTTTTGGGGGCCTTTTTGTGAAGTAACTGGATTTATTTTATGGGGAAAGGGAACCCCAGACTCTGGGCACATCAGGTCAGTGTTTAAGGTTTTTCTAATCCAATTTACCATGCTGCTCCATTCTATATGACATCCTAGTAGAAGCTAGTTATAAATACATAGTATATATAATTAAAACCAATTTTCACAAGACAATCCACGTGCTTGCTGTGATTGACACTCTAGTATTTTCTATTCCATATGAATCTTATCTCATTTCCTTTCCATTCCTGGCTAGTTGGAGTTCATCACATCCATTTCAAGACCCATTCTTGAGTGAGCCCTTTGATGAGCAGCTCTGGGACACCAACTGTCCACCCCAGAGAGGTGCAAATTGCTTTTGAGAGCTCCAGCCCAAGCGGAGGGGCGCAGAGCTCTGGTTAGTTCCAGTGGGGAGGGGGGTGGCGTGAATTAGCCACATTGGGAGAATGAGGATAAACTGCAAGATCCAGAGTCACGGCAAAACTTTGTGACACTTACCAACACCCCCCAGGCTCCTGTTTTCAAGGCTCCATTTGTGTGGACACAGCTGGCTAAAATTCGTCTCCCCTGCCCCCAGCCCACCCCCAGCAATGTGAGGCTCAGGCCTCAAATAGACACTGGAAGACAGGGGAAGGGAAGCAGATCTCGGCATTTCAAGGCATGTTTTAATGGTTTTTAATACCTTTCCCAATCATTTACATCAAGTCCAGAGGGTTGTTTTTTTTTTTTATACACTATAAATGCTTATTTTATTCGGCATCTTGATGTGCACAGCACACATATCACGACACGGATTGGCACCTGTATAAAACTACAGACAAATTCTGAAAATAACGGTAAATACAGAAACCTCCAATCTCCATCACAGCAATAGAAAAACTGTACAATATTTCAAAGGCACGACTATGTCCCAGATGCATCACTCATGATTTTCGGAAGAAATATATATACGTAGTCTAGCGTGATTCAATCCTGCACTTAAGGCAGCTTAATTCCTGACAATTTGATTGGGCTCTGAGACACCTCATAATAATTTAATGCGTCTAAGATCATCATGGCTTGTTTCTATGTAAATACATTAAATATACAAAGTCCATATTTCCCCCCTCCCACGCCCCCGCCCCCAGCATGGGGATCTTTGAGCATCGTGTTTCCTCAATACTCCTGGAGAATAGGGCGTGGTTTAAAACTTTTTTTAAAAAATGTATTGCATTGCATGAACAGCAGTTTAAGATGTGTGGTCCTGTCTTAGTGGCTTCGCAAGTGGCTTCTTTTCTTCTAGGCCTTGGTTAAGAATAGTATTTTAAGTAGATGATTTGCATTCGAACAAAGAGTTTTCAAAAGGAATGTGAAAGACAAAAACTCCAATCAGATTTTCCAGTCTTGCTGTCTGTAGACTCCCATAAAGTTAATTCGGGAGACAGTTCAGAAACATCCTAGGAGAGTATTAAAGTCTTGTCGAAACATTCGGAGCATTTCTGGTAGCAAGCTAAGGTCATTTTGTATAAACTCTAAAAAGTCATTCATTAAAATTAAATGTTTGCCATCACCTCGGAACTTTTTTTAAACATCACTGACCCTGCCTCTTCCATCTTTGCTTCAACGACAGGGGTTACATTTGTAAAATATATAAAGAAAAATATAAGGTTACTTGGTGACCATATAGTGCACTCAACAGCTGTCTGCAAATATTTTCACCATGATTACCCTTACTAAAAGTAAATCACGGGGTAAAGATAGCTCAAACGTGACAAGGTTCCAATGGGACGCACCGACGCTCTCTGCAATCCCTTTTGGCTACATACGGACAAAAAGCCACTTGGATGGCAAACTCCCTGCACCGGGTCTGAGCTTTCCGCAAATTTTGCCAGTGGTTTAAGGGCTTGTGAGGTAGATGTTAAATGCATTTAAGCAGGGAATGCATCAGAAAGCAGCATGCTCCTCCACGCAAACACTGCATCAAGTGTTTTACACAATCACAAGGACATTTCACCTAAAACTAATAGCTATTTCTAGCCCAAAGCTCCCCAAGCACCGGGGAGCCTGTTTTTCTGTTTTTTGTTTTTAGAAAATATATTCTGTTTATCAGAAGTATCTGCTATCGAAGTGTATTTCACCAGGGTTTTGTATCACCAGGGTTTTGGCTGTGGTGGCAAATGCAAAACATCCTTCTGGTGGGATATCGACCGACTCTTTCCCATCAGACTTACAAAATAGCTTTGTCTTTTTTCCAATGGCCACAGCAACGCAAGCTGCAGCTGATCCAAAAAAGGAAAACAAAAGTTTATAACATTGTCTAAGGGTCACTCCCATCGGGTAGATCAAGATTGACTACAGGAAAGTTCAAAGGTCAGTCCTGGCAGATCTAAACACGGAGTGGCAGCCGAGGACTTCGACAGCACACTTTCTGTACCCGAGGTAAACCGATATGTCCGATTAATAGCAACAGGGCACAAAGGGTGCGGGCCCTGGAGGCTGCAAGCACAGGAAGCCGAGATGAGCGCTCCTCAGCTGGCTTCCAAACCCCCTGCAGGCCTCTCCAGACACAGGGATGCTCCACGCCATTCCACAAGGGGATGGCGCAAAGCAAGGTTCATACGGGGATCTGATGTCACTGTTTTTTAAAACACAGAATAGCAGCACACTAGTGACAACTTTTTGACAAGTTAAACAAATCCAGTGGTAAGGTTCTGCATTGTTCCACCAGAAGTCAGGGTTGTTTGTTTCTGGTTTTTTGACTCCCCCCGCCCCCCAAGAAAAATATGAAACACGCCCACAGACCATAAATAATTTGGTGGCGATATATACATATTTAAATAATTAATTTAAATATCTTACACCTACTCTTGCATTAGACTCTCCATCTGAAGAAAGTGCACCAAGGTGGTCCTCGGTGCTCCCTTCCCAGGAGCTTCCCGAGGCTGAGGTAGGGCGCTCCAGAGGGTCACAGCCTGGGGAGGAAGTGGGTGACTTTCATGGTGGGTGACACTCGGTTCCCCTTCTTGGTCTTCCCGTTCTTACTCAGGGCGATGAACATGCCAGGATACGTGTGGGACTCATAGGCGTTGTAGTTGTTGGGGAGGAGTATCTCCTTGAACTTGCACTCATCGGTGAAGAAAGACTGCGAGGGAAAGAGACCAGCGTTAGGGCTGGGCCACCTCCTGGGCAAGGGACCCTGGGGGCCGAGAGTCAGGGGCTGCTTTCTGTCCCAGCCCCCTCTCTGAGCTGAGAATTCTCCCCTGGACAGTCAAGGTGTCAAGACTCTGTCAGGGTGAGAAAGAGACAGGCCAGACCACAACAGCTGGTGCTGCCGCCACCTGCCAGGCACCTAGCGGCCACTGCGTCCAGCCGGAAGAGTGCAGCGCTATCCCTGGCATACAGAGATTTCCCACCTGCCAGCGGTGCCCTTTCCCGGGTCTGGTAGGTGCCCATTCGGGGATGAGCTGCTCCTTTTGTCCGGGCTGGCCGCAGGACACCTGACCTTCTTCTGAGAACTTCGGGGCTGTGGGTGGCACTGCCAGCCCTGTGACCCAGTGTCTCCCCTCTGCGACCCAGACACAGGTGGGCCTGGAGGAGTCACGATCCTGCTGGTGCGGTGCACTGGCCCCAGCCAGGCGCCTGGCGACCCTCGCTACTCACCGAGCCGTAGAGCTTGCCCTTGCCGCTCATGGCCACGAAGAACCGGCTGGTTACACCGAAGATGCTCACCACACCGCGCTCCACCGGCGACAACTCCAGCAGGCCTGGGGGCGGGGCGCAGGTCATTCCGGGGCAGGTGACCCTTGGCCCACACCGCCCCTCGGCCTGTGCGCCTCCGGGGACCCCGTTTCTGGGGTGGGATGGGAGTAAAGGGCCCTGGGTCCTCAGCACAGGTTGCCCCCCAGGGCCCCCAAAGCCCAAGTACGAGCTGGCGCAGAGTAGCTCGTCCCGTGTCGGGGGCCCCCGGCGGCCACGCCCAGTCCCAGACAGCAGGAGCGAGGCGGCTCCCGAGCCCTG